CAGATGTCGCCACTATCAGCAGTTGGCTTGTTGTTTGGGCACGCTTTGTATAATTTTGGTGATGGGCATCATAGCAGTCAGTGTCTATCGTAAGTATGAAAACATCCATGCATTAACTCAGTCTTAGACATAAATAACAGCACTTTAGATGAATTATATTGGTCACAAGAAAATGTTGTTAAACAATGTTTAACAACATTTTGTTCAGGAAACAAATAAGACTAATTTCTTGATTAATATATTTTTGACCATTTAAAAAATACTTGTGATTTTTCAGTTTTAACTTTTTTCTTTTTAGATGCAAATTCCCCCAAAAAAATATGCAAACCAAGAAATGATCCCAAACACAGCAGTTGATGCAATTTTACATTGTAAATATTCTATAATAAAATTGAATACAGTGGTTTTAATGTGATACACAAGGAAACATAACAGTAGTCATTAGGACAGTCCTTATGCTGCGACTGCTGACACAACCAGTCTGCAGCTACATTACCAAAAGAATCCCCAACAAAAATGCACTTTTATACTTTTAATAACATTTTCATAAAATTAGAACCTCTATTGCATTGTGGGAATTTTCATCTCATTTACCCATTAAGGAAATATTAGACCAGTTATAGAATTGTGGGTTTTATTCATATTAAAAGATTTTCTCATAAAATCTAAGAAAAAAAAAGTAGCTAGTAAAAAAAAGTTTCATTAGAACAGAAGAGAAAATACTTTAAGCAGTGGTAAAATTATAAAAACAAAATGTGAAAATGAAAACTGCATCATTACCATGTCTTGAAAGCTAATTTTAATTTTGCAGATGTCACATCAATTCATGAGATTGATGAAACTGAGCTGAACCAACTGAAAGAAAACCAAACAACTTTAAACGGTGTCAATCGTAACCTGACAAATCTCAACGACAAACTCAGCTCAGACAATGAAGACTTGAAGAGGAACCAAACCAAGCTCACACTCCAGATGAACAACCTGACTCAAGTCATCACTGTCTTAGAGAAAAATGTGACAAACCTGACAAAAGAAAACCAGAACCTTAGAGGGAAAAATGAGGAGCTGGAGACAGAAAAGAAAAACCTAACAGAAGAAATACAACAGATGACGACACCATGGATTGAGCTCAATGTTAGTCGAGCTCAGTGGAGCATTGATGTCTACTGTCCCAAAGAAAATAACAGTATGTTCCAAATATATCATGTACAAAAATACCAAATTTAACAGAAATATGCACTGATATTTATCAACTGAGCTCTATCCTTGCAGAACCAACATGTAAGCCTTGTCAGAAGGGATGGGATCATGTTGAGTCCAGCTGCTATGCAGTTAATAATCCTGACAGTGCTGGATGGAGAACCTGGGAAGAAGCTCGAGAAAACTGCAGAGAAAAGATTTCAGATTTACCTGTTGTTATTAATGAAGAAGAAAAGGTACTGAGAAAACTGTGGGACACTTTATGACAGACATCATGAAAATAAAAATATAATTTCTTTAGATTGAAAGCTTTCTTAGAGCAAATTGTCTAAATATCTCTGACAACTTTCTCTCTGTCCTCAGAAAACTGTCAGTGAAAAGAGTTGGGAATATGATGAAAACAAAGGATACTGGATTGGTCTGAGAGTTAAAGATGGGATATGGAAGTGGCTGGATGGAAGGAATCTGACTAATATGTAAGAGACACTTTGAATCAATAGAAATTTCAAGTATTTCCCAAATCTGTGATAAATCAATTACAGTGTACCAGTGTCCATCAGCCTTGAGCAGAATTCTTGTTTTCCTCAGCTCCTGGATGAACCAGCCTCCTTCTGATGGTCACTGTGCAATCTCTGTCCACAACCAAGGATTTAAATCATTGAGCTGTGCTGAGAAGAACCGATGGATCTGCAAAAAGAAAGCTTTGTCTGTTTGAATACTGCAGTAAAACTTCAGAGGACTTTCGGATAGTCTCAGTCTCAAAATAAAATAATGGTGATAATAACTGGTCAACAGAGGGCACTGCATTACTTCAGATCAAGCAGTTGTTCCCTGAAGTATCTGCACTGAGATTTTTTCAAGTTGCAATGATAGTTATTGTTAAGCTATGTTATATTAATGAGTAATGTTTTAGTCAAGCCAAGAACAACACTGTTCAAACTGCTGTAACATGTAGAAGAAGGACAGCTGGCCTCTACATTTGGACTTTGTTAATCAGTCACAGTGACGACATCAGCTACAGAGCAGCAGAGAAGAACAGGAAGTTCAGCTTATAATTGAAGTCTCGTGTTGTGTATTTTGCATATTGTTATCATATCAGCTTGACTTTTTTTAGTGTTGTTAGTAAAGTTTTGATTTTATTCATTTACATTGATTGAAATGAAATTATGGATCCATCCTGCTTTGTATCACCAGCTCAGCCTGGTGGTGGTGCTGTAAGGGTTTGGGGGGTATTTTCTTGGCACACTTTGGGTCATTTATGCCAACTGAGCATAAATAAAAATGGCACAGTCCACCTGTGTATTATTGTTGAACATGTCCATCTCTTCATACCCACAATTCTTTTGGCTGATTCCAGCCAGATAAAACACTATGTGAGTTCACTATAGTCAAACTGCCTCCACAGTCACCAGATTTCAGTCCAGTATCAACCTTTCAAAAAGATTTTGAACATATGTTTTTTAATTTGGAATTTGAAAAAGCTTTTTTAAATGAGTTAAATGTTAAATGTTTTTATTCAGAGGTTAATTTTTTTAATCAATTTTTGATTTAAGTATTTAAATATTCATGGATGAAAAATTCATTTTGAAATATTGATTTATAAATAGTGTTTTTATTCTAAATTAAATTATTTAAAAAATAGCACTCAAGGTTCAAGGTTTTTATTTGTCACATGCATAGTTATACAAGTATAACACACAGTGAAATGTAGCCTGACACGCTCCTCGACATGTGCAAAACAATTGGGGGGGGGGTGAGGGGGGGGGGGGGGGGGTGGGGGTAGAGGAAGAACATTATATAAACTATATTAAATATATATATTATATATATATATATATATATATATAAACACACCCAGCACGCCCCTGCGGGCGGTTTATCCTTCAAGCTCGGGTCCTCTACCAGAGGCCTGGGAGCTTGAGGGTCCTGCGCAGTATCTTAGCTGTTCCCAGGACTGCGCTCTTCTGGACAGAGATCTCCGATGTTGTTCCCGGGATCTGCTGGAGCCACTCGCCTAGCTTGGGAGTCACCGCACCTAGTGCTCCGATTACCACGGGGACCACCGTTACCTTCACCCTCCACATCCTCTCGAGCTCTTCTCTGAGCCCTTGGTATTTCTCCAGCTTCTCGTGTTCCTTCTTCCTGATATTGCTGTCATTCGGAACCGCTACATCGATCACTACGGCCGTCTTCTTCTGTTTGTCTACCACCACTATGTCCGGTTGGTTAGCCACCACCATTTTGTCCGTCTGTATCTGGAAGTCCCACAGGATCTTAGCTCGGTCATTCTCCACCACCCTTGGGGGCATCTCCCATTTTGACCTCGGGACTTCCAGGTTGTACTCGGCACAGATGTTCCTGTACACTATGCCGGCCACTTGGTTATGGCGTTCCATGTATGCCTTGCCTGCTAGCATCTTGCACCCTGCTGTTATGTGCTGGATTGTCTCTGGGGCATCTTTACACAGCCTGCACCTGGGGTCTTGCCTGGTGTGATAGACCCCAGCCTCTATGGATCTTGTGCTCAGAGCTTGTTCTTGTGCTGCCATGATTAGTGCCTCTGTGCTGTCTTTCAGTCCAGCTTTGTCCAGCCACTGGTAGGATTTCTGGATATCAGCCACCTCCTCTATCTGCCGGTGGTACATACCGTGCAGGGGCCTGTCCTTCCATGATGGTTCCTCGTCTCCCTCCTCTTTCTTGGGTTTCTGCTGCCTGAGGTATTCACTGAGCACTCGGTCAGTTGGGGCCATCTTCCCAATGTATTCTTGGATGTTCGTTGTCTCATCCTGGACTGTGGTGCTGACACTCACCAGTCCCCGGCCCCCTTCCTTCCGCTTAGCGTACAGCCTCAGGGTGCTGGACTTGGGGTGAAACCCTCCATGCATGGTAAGGAGCTTTCTTGTCTTTATGTCAGTGGCTTCTATCTCCTCCTTTGGCCAGCCTATTACCCCAGCAGGGTACCTGATCACGGGCAGGGCGTACGTGTTGATGGCCCGGATCTTGTTCTTACCATTCAGCTGACTCCTCAGGACTTGCCTGACCCTCTGCAGGTACTTGGTGGTTGCAGCCTTTCTAGCGGCCTCTTCATGGTTCCCATTTGCCTGCGGGATCCCCAGGTACTTGTAACTGTCCTCTATGTCTGCAATGTTGCCTTCTGGTAGTTCAATCCCCTCAGTTCTGACTACCTTCCCTCTCTTTGTTACCATCCGACTACACTTCTCCAGTCCGAACGACATTCCAATGTCATTGCTGTATAGCCTGGTAGTGTGGATCAGTGAATCGATGTCTCGTTCACTCTTGGCATACAGCTTGATGTCATCCATGTACAGGAGGTGGCTGACAACTGCTCCGTTCCGTAGTCGGTATCCGTAGCCGGTATCCGTAGCCAGTCTTGTTAATGATCTCACTGAGGGGGTTCAGGCCTATGCAGAACAGCAGTGGGGACAGAGCATCTCCTTGGTAGATCCCGCACTTGATGGTGACTTGTGCTATGGGCTTGGAGTTGGCCTCTAGTGTTGTACGCCACATCCCCATTGAGTTCCTGATGAAGGCTCTTAGGGTCCCATTGATCTTGTACAATTCTAGGCATTCCAGTATCCAGCTGTGGGGCATTGAGTCATAGGCCTTCTTGTAATCAATCCAGGCAGTGCACAGGTTGGTCAGTCTGGTCTTGCAGTCTCGGCTGACTGTTCTGTCTACCAGTAGCTGGTGTTTTGCGCCTCTGGTATTCTTGCCAATTCCTTTCTGTGTCCCGCTCATGTATTGACCCATGTGCCTGTTCATCTTAGCCGATATGATGCCTGACAGGAGCTTCCATGTAGTACTGAGGCAGGTTATTGGTCGGTAGTTGGAGGGGACCGGTCCCTTCTTGGGGTCCTTGGGGATCAGGACCGTCCGGCCTTCAGTTAGCCATTCCGGGTGTCTCTCGTTAACTAGCAGCTGGTTCATTTGTGCTGCCAGACGCTCGTGGAGTGCAGTCAGCTTCTTTAGCCAGTAGGCGTGAACCATGTCGGGCCCTGGTGCTGTCCAACTCTTCATACTGGAGACCCTTTCTTGGATATCTGCCACTGTGATGGTTACTGGACCCTGTTCAGGGAGGTCGCTGTGGTCTGCCCTCAGATCCACTAGCCACTGAGCATTGCCGTTATGGGTTGCGTCCTTCTCCCATATGCTCTTCCAGTATTGCTCCGTCTCCAGCCTTGGTGGTGCTGTTCTCTTATTGTTCCCTTGCCACTGAGAGTACACCTTTGCTGGTTCTGTGGAGAACAGCTGGTTTATTCTCCTGCCTTCTATCTCTCTGGTGTACCTCCTCAAGCGGCTGGCCAAGGCTGTGAGTCTTTGCTTGGCAGTTTCCAAGGCCTCAGGTATGGACAGTTTGCTGTATTTCTTATGCACCTTCTTTGTCGCACCTTTCTGCAACTCCGTTAGTTGGCTAACCTCCCTCCGTGCTACTTTGATCTTGCCCTCTAGCCTCCTTCTCCATGGAGGGTACTCAAACCAGGAGCTCAAAAAGAAAAATGAGGAGCTGGAGACAGAAAAGAAAAACCTAACAGAAGAAATACAACAGATGACAACACCATGGATTGAGCTCAATGTTAGTCGAGCTCAGTGGAGCATTGATGCCTACTGTCCCAAAGAAAATAACAGTATGTTCCAAATATATCATGTACAAAAATACCAAATTTAACAGAAATATGCAGTGATGTTTATTAACTGAGGTCTATCCTTGCAGACAGAAAATGTGAGCCTTGTCATGCTGGCTGGGATCATGTTGAGTCCAGCTGCTATGCAGTTCATAATGCTGAACGTGATGAATGGAAAACCTGGGAAGAAGCTCAAGAAAACTGCAGAGAAAAGAGTTCAGATTTACCTGTTGTTATTAATGAAGAAGAAAAGGTACTGAGAAAACTGTGGGACACTTTATGACAGACTTCATGAAAATAAAAATATAATTTCTTTAGATTGAAAGCTTTCTTAGAGCAAATTGTCTAAATATCTCTGACAACTTTCTCTCTGTCCTCAGAAAACTGTCAGTGAAAAGAGTTGGGAATATGATGAAAACAAAGGATACTGGATTGGTCTGAGAGTTGAAGATGGGATATGGAAGTGGCTGGATGGAAGGAATCTGACTAATATGTAAGAGACACTTTGAATCAATAGAAATTTCAAGTATTTCCCAAATCTGTGATAAATCAATTACAGTGTACCAGTGTCCATCAGCCTTGAGCAGAATTCTTGTTTTCCTCAGCTCCTGGATGAACCAGCCTCCTTCTGATGGTCACTGTGCAATCTCTGTCCACAACCAAGGATTTAAATCATTGAGCTGTGCTGAGAAGAACCGATGGATCTGCAAAAAGAAAGCTTTGTCTGTTTGAATACTGCAGTAAAACTTCAGAGGACTTTCGGATAGTCTCAGTCTCAAAATAAAATAATGGTGATAATAACTGGTCAACAGAGGGCACTGCATTACTTCAGATCAAGCAGTTGTTCCCTGAAGTATCTGCACTGAGATTTTTTCAAGTTGCAATGATAGCTATTGTTAAGCTATGTTATATTAATGAGTAATGTTTTAGTCAAGCCAAGAACAACACTGTTCAAACTGCTGTAACATGTAGAAGAAGGACAGCTGGCCTCTACATTTGGACTTTGTTAATCAGTCACAGTGACGACATCAGCTACAGAGCAGCAGAGAAGAACAGGAAGTTCAGCTTATAATTGAAGTCTCGTGTTGTGTATTTTGCATATTGTTATCATATCAGCTTGACTTTTTTTAGTGTTGTTAGTAAAGTTTTGATTTTATTCATTTACATTGATTGAAATGAAATTATGGATCCATCCTGCTTTGTATCACCAGCTCAGCCTGGTGGTGGTGCTGTAAGGGTTTGGGGGGTATTTTCTTGGCACACTTTGGGTCATTTATGCCAACTGAGCATAAATAAAAATGGCACAGTCCACCTGTGTATTATTGTTGAACATGTCCATCTCTTCATACCCACAATTCTTTTGGCTGATTCCAGCCAGATAAAACACTATGTGAGTTCATTATAGTCAAACTGCCTCCACAGTCACCAGATTTCAGTCCAGTATCAACCTTTCAAAAAGATTTTGAACATATGTTTTTTAAATTGGAATTTGAAAAAGCTTTTTTAAATGAGTTAAATGTTAAATGTTTTTATTCAGAGGTTAATTTTTTTTAATCAATTTTTGATTTAAGTATTTAAAATATATTTATATTTATAAATACAATATTTATTCATGGATTATTAATTCATTTTGAGATATTGATTTATAAATAGTGTTTTTATTCTAAATTAAATTATTAAAAAAATAACTTACTTTATTACTGTTTAAATAAATAGAATCATTTAAAACCCATTCATAAATCAATTTACAGATGCACATTATATTACACAATATTATTATTTAGCACAGGAGTCTTTATTTTTCTTGTGGTCCTACATAAAAATAGCACAAAGTATGTGGAAGTAGTCAAAGGCCAAAAAATGTGTGGAGCACAATTTCGTGAGTGCTAGCTTGAATTTACATTTAAATGCTGTGTAACATTCACACAATAATGTTCCTGTTTCTCTTTATTATTCTAGTTGCTTCTGCATGTTTTTGTGGCTTTTAACCGCTTCCACATACTTTGTGCTAATTTCATGAAGGACCACAAGAGTCTCGCACATCGGAATAAAGAATCCTGCGCTTCACAGCATTAACACAACTAAATCTAAAGTTGACTAAGCTGACTAAAGTTATCATGTTTTTAATAGTGAGAGCTGCTCCACATGGTTTAAAAAGAGTCTTATTTGCCTTGACACATCTATTCTCTTCCCCACAAGCATCAACATTTTGTGATTTTTTTCATGAAAAACAGGGAGCATGGGAGTTGGTTTCCTTATTTTGAGGCTTAGTTTGAACTTAAGCAGGTTGTCTTGGCTATATACATGTCTAAATGCAATGAGTTGATGCCTTGTGGTTGGCTCATTAGTTCTGTGTGGTGTGGGGAATTCACATCATGGATTTCCAGCTGGCAAATCTGCAGCAAGTGTAAGATGCAATCATAATAATAGTAATCTCAGGAATACTTCTTGGACCTTGTTGAAGAATTAATGGAGTTATAAAGGCAAAGCCAATGTCATCTCAGTACAGGCATCGCCTGCCTAATAAAGTGTCCAGTGAGTGTATATGTCAAAAGCAGAGGTTAGAAGAGACAGAGTTACACTGGTGAAGCAGCAGTTTATTATCATGCTCTGTGGTATTTGTCAGTGTACAAGTCACAAGAAGTGTCTAGTTACTGGTACATAAGAACACTCTGTATTCAGTTTGAATCCATATATGGAACCATCTTACATTGTCAGGCAAAAGCAGAAGCTTATTGCGGAAGTTTTTTATGATAATTATTATGTTCCATATTTTAAGCACAGTGCTATTGCTCAGTGTACAAGTCCCAAAAACCTCAGCAGCAGGGCGGTAACTACGGCAGAGGAGAAGGTCATATTAAGAACTAACAAACGAACACAATCAGCAGGTAAGCTGAGCTTTTCAAATGCAGTGTATCAAAAAAGATTTTCTAAAACGCAGGGCTATTGATGTGAATCAAAGTCTGCATCTCTATGTGATTACTGTTTCAAGTCATGTTGGTTTAGGTGATATTTTCTTCAGTAATAGTAAACAGTAAAAAAAGACTGTGAGCTAATCCAGTGGGTCAGATACTGAGATATGTGCTGCCACATCAAAGGCAAACTTTCCCAGTACAATCTAAGGCAAAGTTCCAGAGAAAAAATACATTTCTAAAAAGAGCTGTGATGTCTCAAATTAGATTTAAGATGCTGAATTCTGTCAACATTGAGCAAAAACATTTTGTTCATTCAAAATGACCCAAAGTCTACGAAAATTGTGGTTGTTTGAAAACTGCTTAACTCCAATTACCCTTTAAACTTTCAGTAAAACAGGACAAGGAAGCTGCACATGAAGAAATGAAGGTTGAAAATGAAGCAACTCAACAAACTCCTGATAAAAATGGTGAGTTATAAAAAACCAAAACCAAAAAACAACAACAACAAAAATCCAACAAAATCACTCTGTGTTAACACAACTGGAAGGAGGGATGGGAATTGAGAGCTGGTTTCCAGTAGTCCAATTCCCTGGGATTGTTAGTCTGCCTGCCCATCAATCACACTTATCGGTTCTTCTGCTCTCAATGCGATCAGCTGATGTTACTTTGTGCATCGTATGAAAAGTATGAGATCCACTATTATTGGAGTTTATTCAGATCGTGGGCCTTGTATTTCAAAGCCCACCCTGCTACAATGACACATTCTCACTGATATTTTGATACACCTGCCATTTCCCACACCAAGTCATTATTTCATGCCAATACCTTTATTTTGTGATAGACAGGTTAGATTTGTAAATCTAAAATTAAAGCTCTCAAGTTGACCCAAGAAACTTAAACCTACAAAAATGATGTTAAAACATTTTATTTTGATTAAGGAAACACAGTTCTTCAATACGAAACATGACAAAATTCTCTCTCCAAGAAAGAAAGAAAGAAAGAAAGAAAGA